TTTTTAAAATTATTATAACTGAAAGAGTGTAGATAAAAAGATAAGTAAAATGAATACAATGTGTATTTATATTGATTCGTTACAATTGCTAAGATTACATATGATTCTTGATCAACTCAATCAAGTTTTATTATCCTTTAACTTGTTTATTAAAGCAACTATCTGAATATTCTTTGTGCAAAAAGTCTATCTAAACTTCAAACAACCAAATATTCTTTTATAATGAAGTTTCTTTAGACTCCAAACAATAAAGATTCTTTTATAGTCAAGTCGGATTCAAAGTAATAAAACTAAGTTAAAGTTAGATAAATTAACAATGTTGTTTTATTTTACTATTAAGATGTGATACAACTTATTAAGTACAATATTCTTACAGAAAGAATGAATATATGTTTACAATGAATATGTATTCTCTCTCCCTCTCTCTTTTCTCAATTTTCAAACTTATTTATATAAGGACTTCATGAAGATGATCGTTGTAAAACCTTGAGCATTTGTCACAAACTTATTTATTTGTTTTCATCTTTATTCTTTGTAGAAGGAAATTGAAATAAAGAGTGTTAAAAAATATTGAACTAAATTGTACGGTTAGAGATATGATTTATAAAAATTGGACTATCTTTATTAGAGAATGAAATTCTTTTAATTTTTTTTATCCTGCCAAATGTTTCTTTTAATTTACTATATTATAGATGGAAGGATTTTCATATACAACAAGAATTAAACATAAATTTTGTGCAACATAGATCATCTTCGCAATATATAAATGCAAGGTGCCTAACCTCTAGAGTAACTCATCAAGAAAAAAAAAAGTTAGTTAAATTAAAAAAAAAAGTGATTAGTTAAATTCAATTCAATAATTATCTCCTCATTTATTATAAAATACCATTAAAGATTTGTTAGTCTCAAAGTACAAACAAATATTAACTAATTTTACTAATGTGATCATTCCTAAAATATTTCTTTATTTAATTGAAATTATATTTTCTAATGTTTATTTTTATTCTTGGTATCAAATTTTATGGAATATAATTTATAAAAATAAGTTAATTTTTTAAATAAGATTAACAAAATTAAATGATATAAACTTTTTTAATTATTATAAAATATATTTTTTATTATTAATATTGGAAATTAGAGGATGTATTATGTTACAAATAACATAAAATATTATTTAAAAATAATAAAGATAATATAAAATTACTCTATGACTTACCTATTTTTTCATATTAAATTTAGGAAATATTATTTAAAATATTAGTATATTCTTACCTAACAGTATTATGTCATGCAAGAATTTTATATTCATTGGGGAAAAAGAGTGAGAATGGGTGACAAGAAATATAAAGGGTCTATGGTGCTGTATCAACTCTCTCTGTTATTACAAAACCAAAAGGACGCGCGCGTGAATAGGTTGTGCTTCAGCGCGTGAGAGACACGTTCCATTCAAGATTGCGATTACTACCGATGCTTGATCTGGATGGTGCCACGCAATGAGAGTGACATGCCACGTGCTCATGGTGCGCGTTGGGGTTCCATGCCGAATTTTGCAATACTGTCCACGGAGCCGAAATGAAAGGACATGTCGTCTCTTTTGCCACTGTAGTGCCTCTGTTTGTTCTGTTTGGGTGAGGTATTATAATTGATATTGTAAAATTAATTTTAAAACAATATGATTTATGTTAAATATTATATTTTAAAAATAAATTATTATTAAAATTTATTGAAATGATTAATTCAAAAAATTACTTAAATTACAAAGTTAATTTTAAACTTAAAATCAATTTTCTGCATAAATTGAGTATATAAATATTTGTGTTCAATTTGATTTTATAGAAAACGAAAACAAGGATTTGAGATTGAATTTTTTTTTATTTAAAAACACTAAATATTTTTACAGTTTGGAAGCTCCAAAAAGAAGAAAGGAAGGGGATAAACAAAAGGTTCCGCGAGAAACCTTTTTCCCTTCGAGGAACTTTACGAAATTTTTAGTTATTTCATTTAAATACTTATTATTCTAACAATAAATTTATTTATCTTAGCTCATTATATTTAAAATATTATTTATTTTGATGTGTGGTGGATTATCACAATTTTACTTTTAAAAATACATTTGAGTTGGTTAAGGGAAGAAAATATTTATAAACTATTCATGACCTATATTACTAAGTAGTGTAAGAATTTTAAGTATATCAGAATAAATTTCTAATTGAGGCTAAAAGGTTAGAGTGATCTAGGCTTCCCTTCTAGTACAAATGTTCCAATCCTAAGTCGGCTAACATTGTTAAAGTTATCATGTTTGAGATATTTTCTACTTTGACGTACGTCCAGTCGTCACAATTTTACCCTTAAAAATGTGTCTCCATGATTTCATCAACAAATTAATGACTTGTTTCAAAATGCCTAAAAGTCTTGCTTATGAATCAAGGCTAAGTAAAAGATGAATATAAAACAAAACCATTTGTCATTCATGTTGATACTAAAAGAATTATATACACCATATTCTACCTAAATATCTGGAACTAATTTTGTAACAAATATTCTTAATATTTATAAGAAATATTGTAGGAGCTAAACATTTTATTCCTAATTACATGAAATATGATTGAGATACAAATGATATGTTGCTAAGATACAACTGTCAAGTATCTCAATACTCCCCTTCAAGTTGGAGCATGAAGATTCTGAATGCTCAACTTGCACGGAAGAAATTGAAATTGTTGCTTCCTAAGAGCCTTGGTAAAAATATCTGCTAGTTGCTAGTTGTAAATTGGTACAAACATGAAGGTAGCAATATTACCCGCTTGAATCTGATCTCAAACAAAATGACAATCAATCTCAATATGCTTTGTGCGTTCA